CCCCCTTACAGATTAGAACCCCGAGACCAACATATGCCACACCAATGCCCTGCTCTTGGAGGATATCAAAAAAAACCCTTGAGGTTTCTTAGACAATACTGAAAAAGAAGTCTTGTCCTGTAGTTTTCGTTGGTTTTGGGTTTTATTTGATATTTTTATAAACGCATAGACGTCATCTTATCAACAATTCTAGTCATACAATCAAAGACCTGACTCATTGGGATATTTCACGTAATACAGCTAACTTTCCACAAGGACAGATATAGTGCCCCACCCCACCCCTCCTCGTGAATAACATAATAATGTTGATAGGGGCGTTAAACCTTTACCATTTCATATGTTAACAGGAATGGCCTTCAGACACCGGGTCAACGACTTCTCCTAGTACTGGTAACATAATGTTAAATATTAGGCGAGAGAGCTGCTAGAATGTTAAAAAATATTAAGTCTCCATAATGAAACGACAGACAACAAAGTTTGAACCCACACCTCCCAGTATCCAGGCTTACACTCAACAATTTGGGTTAATTAATTTACTGACAAAGAGCCAGTCAAAGCACTGAACATGTCATTCTAAAGCGTTTTGTTCTAACCAGTCAGATTTTGTTAAGATACTAGTTTAAATACTAGACCTATAACTCGCCGTCGTCCATGTAGATTTACACTTGTTAGGCCAATGAACAGTAGCACATAGCGTCATTCTTTAATTAACCGGCTTAGAGTGCAGAGAACCGGCAACCTGCATTGTGGTGCACATTTTTTGTAATCCCATAACCGGCTACGTGCAAAATAAAACTATCGATTGTGGTATTTAAGAAGAATCAAGTAATATTTGGTCCCAACACTTATAACTTAACCTTTTAGGCACAAACATGTAAGATTACGCTGCGCGTTTTAACAATAATCAGGTTTTTTTGTCCTTCCAGTAAAATTTGGCTTTCTGCATGTAGCTGGTTTGTGAAAAACACCGACAATATATATCTGGCGGAGAGGAACTGGAGGGGGTACACGTTGGTATGTACTAAACGTACGAATGACTAGTGTATTCAAGAGATTAGTATCATGAATGCGGAGGGAAAGGTGGGAATATGTTGTTTTTTTTCTCTTGAAAAAAGTGTGTATGTTTGGGGTGGGGGGG